TCATATTATCTATAAATTATAAATAATAATACTCGCTCTCCGACTTGTGTGATATCCAAACTCCTCAAGTATCTCATCAATCAATATCAAAAGTCATAGATAAAATCATAATGTCAAGGAAAATACATCAATGTCTAAGTCAATTTCAACTGAATTTCGAGAGAAATTATAAATGAGCATGATGAAATTAAGCATCCATTTAATTATTTTGCCTTAATCGTTGAACTTATTATGGTCATTAATAATCAATTATAGTTGGTGCTTTGCTGTGAAAATTATAAAAGATGGGTGATATCATGATGTTTTGAGGGAACAAAATGATTAGTCAAACCACAATATTGTTATCACTTAGTTTGAAAATATCAAGTCTCACTTTTGTTCATGTGAGGCTCACAAAATATATTCAATTCATTATATATGGATTTCATTGTTCTTATTTCAGTTGAAATTATTTTAAGAAATGTAAGTTACCTAAATTTTTACTTATTGGGTGTATTTCACCAAGAAAATCCCCTATAAAGTCTAGATATTAGCTGTGTACATCATCAACCAACAAGAGAAAATCACAATGCTACTAGTGAAAACAATATAGAAAGAATGACAGTAAAATTTTAAAAGATTGAATTAATAACAGTTAAGTTCTCAACAAGATTTTCTAAAAATAAACAAGTTACAAATGTTGATTCTGACAATTATAAATTTAGAAGTATCAAATATTGCAGATAACATCTAAATCTTAAATGTAAGTTAATAAACAAGATTTATGTTTGCAGCTATGTGATGTTTACAACTCACTGTTTTAGACACATTTCAAAGACTTAACTATAACGCTCTCTGATTTTTATTATAAACCTTAAATAATTAATTTACAGCAATCAACAAGTAGTTAAATAATAAATATGTTAGAAATATATTTTTATTTCTAAATACGCGTTTATAATAAATGAAAAAAAAAGAGAATGTATATGGTGAAGACTAAAGAATAAATAATTAAAGACAAAAATAAAAAAAAATATTAAAATTTAGACAAACTTCAAATTAAAACTTATAAAATGAACAACAGCACTTTTCAAATTTAAAACTTATAAATAGTACCGGAAGGAGTATTGATTTATAATTTTTTGAGACTTTAGCTGATATCTACACACTTATATATATTCAGTATTCGCGGGGACACACTGAATCTACTTGGCGAATAGGACAATGTAGGCATTAAGAAAGGAGCAACCGACACTGATGGCTGAGACAAAAGGAGTAAATAAAAAAAAAACAAGAGGAGATGGATGCATATGCTGAGATTCTGCTTTAATTAGTGATACCCACATGTGCATGTGAGCTGTTCATGATCTTGCACACTCCCTCATCCTCACTCTATCATCATCCATGTGTCAAGCTTTCTCCTTAATTAATTTCATGAATAATTTGGATCCTCGTATGTTTAGGGACTTGTTCTATTGGGTAAACATTAAAATAATAATACTCCCTTCTGTCCTAATGCAAGTTCAAGTCCTAATATAAATTCTGACAAAGTAAAATTGATTTTAAATATAAAATCTCAATTCAGTTTTTCTTCCCGGCTTGATTATATCAAAGTTGTCGACATATTTTCTATGTAACTTGTAAGCCCATTTATTTTCTTAACAAGATCATGTTGAGACTTTTTTTAATAACTCAAAAGCTAATAGTGTTGTAGGTCACATGTGTGAATTGGTGATTTGTGTGGCGTCCTCCTATGTCTTTTGTTTTAATTAATGTCACTAGATTGTATTCGTTCCTACTCTTTGGGATTTTGATCAATGTATGATTTGGTGGTGCTATAATTGGTTCAAAATGAAATGCAAGTTTTAACTAGTTTTTGAAGTGTCCACCATCTTTTGGGCTTACTAACCACAATCCTCTGTTGGTTTGTTGTAAAGTGCTTTTATTTTTAGATCTTGAGCCCCCGAACTAGTCCTAACCTGCGATCAATTGATGGTTTTATATGTATCATTTTATTGTTTTGTAAGTTAAATAAATTGACTTTTATTATAAAAAAAAGGATTTTGATATATTTTTTCTTTTATATTTATCATTTTTCTCCAACTTAATTTACTTTATTTGTAAATTGATATATAATCTAATGTTACATATTAATATTTTAAAGAGATCGTATAGTATTTATTATAATTAACTAATTTATCTAATTTTTTAACATTTCCAAATTAATGCAATAGTTATTACATTAAAAAAGTAATAAAAATTAATAGGAATTGGGTTAAACAAAAGGGGCTAAATTGGCTAGTCCCTCACAATAAAACCTTTTCATTAGGATAAATGCTCACATTTAGTGTTCAGTGGTACTTTAAATAAAATTATCTTTAATAAGAGAATACTTAAGGTTAGATTTGATTTTAAATATAATATTATGCAAGAGAATTTCAAGGACATCATGGCCGATATGTATTAATTAAATTTATTTGAACCTTTTAATTTACCTAAATTAATTAAATACTTATATAACTAGTTTACCATGTGACGATGAATAGAATACCTCCTAGAACAGAGTGACTGAGTTGGCGGCTACTATTCCGTTTGGGTAGAACTTAGAAGATCGCTAACAGGTGGTTTTGGGTATAAGGGTGACATGATACAATGCTGATGTGGCTTTTTAATCCTATTTGGCAATCACATGGTTCCATGTCAACAATCTTTTTCACGCATTGGTGACCTACTCAACAGAGTTAGGTACCGAGTTGACAACTGGCTAAAGATGAATTAGTTAATTTTCTCTATTTAATTATAACTAACGTTATACTAATATTTTAGAATTTTAAGCATACATTAGTGATGGTAATGTATCTAGAGTAATATTTTTTTTGTACAAAAAAATTTAAGTGGTCCCGAGAACTCACAAGGACCAGAACATGTTTTTAAGCTCAAAGAGTGCTTGCAGAGGCAATAAGATTCGAATTCACGACATTATGAGTTATGAGCTAATTCCTTACTAACTGGACCAACTCTTATTGGTTATCTAGAGTAATATTGTTTACAAGTTGTAACCTGTAGATGATTGATTTAGCCCAATTATTCTATGTTATTTCATATCATTTTAAGGGTATTTATCATAGATTTTGGCTCCTTTTGATGATAATTGTGCTTAATTTAGATTAAGAGTCCTTGCTTTGAGTTAGTGTCTTTTTGAGGTTAAGATTGTCATAATTGATTATTAATTGTATTCAGTTGATTTCTAGGACAATTGATGCTTCAAATTGTTGCTTTTTATTGTAGGACAATTGAGAATTGGAGCCAAGATCAAAGACCAAAGGATGACACAACACAAGATCACAGTATCAGCACTAATAAAGTTCGCCGCGGCGCCAAATTGAAATCTCACCAGTAATCTCTCGGGCAGAGTTCGCCGCGGCGAAATCACAAGATTAGGCGGAGCTCCTCTCGGGCATGCTTCGCCGCGGCAAACTCTTCGTATCAGCAACGCCAGATCCGGATCAGAACGCGAAAATGGAGCTTCTAATCATATGATCCGACCCAGATGGACCCCTAAAACCCTTAGAAACCCTATTTTTGACCATACACTCCATTCCATCTCCTACAACACCTCTATTCTCCCATCCTCTTGCCTCTCCACCTCCATCTTCTTCTCCATCCATTTCCTTCATCTTTCATTCACTCCATCTCAATTCCTTCCACTCCCAGCTACCATGGCCGACGGATTCACTTCAGTTGGAGCTTTTCTTGAAGCTATGGAGAGCTAGGGTTTATCAACTCTTGAAGAATGGTGGTGTGGCTTGAGTTCCTAAGCTTCAAAGGGGAGTTTAGTTTCAGTTTGTAATTTTTAGCTATGATTTATGGCTTTCTAGGTCTAGGAGTTGTAATTTCTTAGTTAGGAACTTGGGACTGATACTGTAATTATTGGTTAATGATTACATTTGTAATTTGGATTGATCGATGTTGAACTTTGTGCTTAAATATATGTAGTTGCATATATGCTTATTGTAACTCTCATGATTCTCTCTTATCTTGCATAGTTGTGTTTGGGTACTGAGTTGATTGTGTGTTTCATTAAGCCAATTGCATGATCATTCCAAAATTACACATTAGGGAAGCTAAACAAAGTTTACATTAATGAGTTCATTAATGTAAGCTTTGGACTCATTGAGTTAATGAGGTTCTTATTAAGAAAACCTAATGGATTTGTGAAACTCCCAATATTTAAGTGAACTATGATTGCCATCAAAACCATTTTCAAGAGATTTCCTATCAATCATTTCCATTACATCATTATTATCTTAAAACACCAAAAATATAGTATCTTAGGTTTGTTTTCATTGCATTCAATTTTGGCACATTTCATTAAATGCTAAAAATCCAAAACCCCATTTCATTGCATTGCATGGCATTTAGTCTAGCTTAGGTAATTAATAAAGGCTCCCAAAAGTGAAACGACCTGAGTTTGCACTATATTGCATAGCTTGGATTTATTTTTGATTGAGAACCCCAAGGCGAACGACAAGAAAGGCTCTCTTTCAATGATATCAAAACTCATGCAAATATCTAGTTTGTGAAAGCCCAAAAAAAAAAGGACAAAACTATTTACAATAATAGGGATAAGGAAGAGTGATTTGAAAAACGAACCAGTTATATGGTTTGGTTCGGTTACTCTCATGGGAAATTTTGGCCTCTTTTGGTTTGGTTATCTGTGTTGATTTCTTTATATAACGAATGAAAAGAACGCATCTCACCCTCAAAGCAAGCTGAAATTACACGCTTCCTTTGACAATAATAACCTTGCTGTGAAATGTAGAAGAATGCTTGAATCAAAAAAGGGAAAAAAAATTTCATGTGCACACCTTGGTGGTAAAATTAATAAAACAGAAGTTAAAAGATATTTGATTGAAAAAATAAATCAATAAGTAAATAGAGCCCCAGATTCCAATTCTTTCTCGATTGGTGGCAAGGGATATTTTAGCTATCCCAAAATACCTTCTTTATTCCCCCCCCCCCCCCCCCACTTCTGCTATTCTTTATTCAATCAAATATACTAACCATGTATCTTTCTGGCACCTTTGCTACGCAGTAAGGGAAACCAGCTTTAAAAAGCACTGAGCAGCATAGCCAATCCCAAAATGAGATGTGCCAAGTGCATCACAAAAGGAGACACAATAACACTAAATACTAGTGCAGCTTATACATGGTTGCCATTTTCATCCCAGGATCAAAATTGATTGATACAAGCCAATTTGGGTTGATGTAGACACAACACCACAGTGGTAAGAGAACAACTATATTTATAACCAAAATCGGTTAACAACTTCAGCAATTTGCTTGCGTGCTTGTATTGAAAAGGGGGAAAATATCAGTTGCAGGCTGCAAGGCATTGAAGAATATCAAGAATACTTTTTGTACAGCTATTCCCCTTGCCAGCCAACTTGACGCGCTCGCCGCTCCCACAGCAATGTCATCTTCTTTTCCCTGATGAGCAAGGCTTCGGCCCGCTCTCTTGCTTGTTCACAAGTTTCAGTGGCAGCAACACATTTGTCTGCCTCCCTCTGGTATTGAGATGCCAATCTCTTCGCTTCAGCCAGTGTTATGTTCATATGACGACTGTGCTCATTGGTGACAGCTTCTTGCAGCTTAAGCTCCTCTGTGAGAAGATCCACGAATTGCTTTTCCATTTCCTGCTTGAGATCTGGATCATTACTTCCACAATCTGTCCACCAGCAAGTAGGTCTTATATTTAGGACCGGAAAAGTATAACTGTAATTTGTATGGTGGCAAAAGTAAATATAGAGCTTGAGCGTGACAATCAAATAACTTTCAAATGTTCATGCCAGAGTTGAATGAATGATATGATCTTATCTCTCCCATGTCAGAGATTAAGTAAAGGCAATCTGGTACCAATTCATATGAAATAACGAAATAGATGATGTTTGTTGCAAAGAATATTACATATGGAGATAAGGAAAAGGAAAGTGAATAAAAAATAACTCGCTAGGTCGAACCCCAATTAATAATGGGTAATAGAAAAGTGGTGGGTAATATTGAATAATAATGATACAAATCTAATAGACATGGCATAAAAAATGTAGTAAATTATGTTCGCTTTCCCTTTTTCAATTCTGCTATTATTAGACACAGCAACACCGTCTCTGTCACCCTCTTTGTGTCAATGACATGAATGGTACATCTAAGATTCCACAGAAAATACTGTATACATATAACAACGCGTCTAAAGATCACAAGCACATGTTTAATTTAGCATTTTACAAGCAAAATAATGAATCACTAGGCATCTGGCAACCTGAATTTCCAGACAATATAAATGGCAGAAAACAAATTAACAGACAAAAACTAGAAGAGCACGTCAATTAAAACTGTAGGCCGAACAGATTTCCTATTATTTCATAAACTGTTAATATGAAACATATGCTACAAATAAATATAGTTAAGAAAAGGGCAAGTTCTTAAATTAGTTAAGCAAGCAGGATGCCTCTAACCTGAGACAGAAAGGTTGGCCAACCCTGCAAAGGAAAGACAAACGGGGGAATCAGCATACAAATGCTTCAGTATTGATGTCACATATTATCAATTTTGAAATTGTGTATCAGAATTAACATCCAAGAAGAAAAATGATAGACGAGACAAATCGCAACAAAGACATGCAACTTCATGCAGAACTTGTGTTAAACGTCTAAATAGAAGTGATAATATTCATGACAAGTAGCTTATGATGAGGAAAAAAGTAATTGTCACCTATCATTCAACTTATGAGATAAGCATACAAGAATTAGATCACCATGTATAAACATCAGCATTTGTTTTACACTACAATTTTAACATTAGATGTATGTTATGGTGAAGCATCAATCATGACAATGCACACATTAGAGAACTTTGGCGGCACTGTAGTTCACAGGTCAAGGAAAGGTGCAAGACCCCCCCCCCCCCCGGGTTGTCCCATGAAGAAATATAGCATTCTTTAAGACGAAATCTCACAATCTGTTAGGCATCCCTTTCAGAGAGAGATTATATTTTCATCACCCATAAAAACAAGATATACAGAGTCTACTATACCTTTTTTATTGTTATTCATCCCTTTTTATCACACTTCTAAGTTAAAGATTTCGGGGTCTTTTACATCTATAAAGTTTTTTTTTTTTTTTAATTTTAATTTTCACATTAATATTATTCCATTCAGCATATCAACCAGCTCATCAGCTTTTGAGGACTTCTATGGTTCCTTTTAGCTTTTTTTACGAATAGTTTTAAGTCTCCAGGAATCATAGCACGTAACATGACTTCATGGGCAAAGTTTTGATGAGCCCAGCTGGAATTCCAAGAGACAGACTAATTTCGCAGATTCTTACTTTAAACTGTAAGGCAATTTCATCTGGTAGACCAATGAATAGCGCTTGTGTTAATGGGATGGTCACATTAAAATTACAATGACAGTCTTAATCATTTAAATTACATACAATTAAACGGATAGCAGAATCTAATTCATGTCCTTCTTAGTAATCCCGATGCTCAAGCAAGGAGAAAGCTGAGAACCCAGAAGTAGAAATACAATTGCTTAAGATTAAAAAAAAAAAAAAAACTCCTTACAGTAATCTCCTTGTTTATTACTATCAAATCGCAGAAAGAAACAAAATGGTGGTCCTCAACATAATGGTTTCACTACCGAACAGCTAAACGAATACACCACAACACGCAAGTGCAATAAAAATAACAATTATTGAAGAGAAAAAGAAAAGAAAATTGCGCTTGATTAATTCCATCAAAAGCAAGAAATGGCCACACCAAAAAGAGAAATTAAAATGGGCACCTGAAACCCTTACCAGGAGCAATGCGCAGGAGAGACAAAGGAGGAGGACAATCACAAACGCAGGGAGGGCAAGAGCTTTCGGAATTGCTGAGTTTCAAACTATTCTTGAATCTCCAGTACAAAACGGGGCCACACACAGCCAAAGCTGAGACCACCGCAAACACTGCCAAGCAACACCTCACGCATCCTCCAGATCGCCGGGACATCTTCGGTAAAGTCTCAGATTCTCACTGCTTCTCCGAAATTGGGATCTAATACCATTAAGACTTCAGCGAATCTCACCTCTTGCTATTTGAAGCCGTCGCTATGCTCTTATTACTCAATGTAAATGAGGTGGATCTGTGCATGCTATACTGCTATAGACGCTGGGAAAGAAGAACTCGTAAAAAAGACTATAACAATTTTTTTAAAAAAAAATTGTAAATAAGAACATGTTATAGTGCTAGTATTGATTTTGACGATAATTGATGAATGAATAACAACAATCAATTTTTGTGAATGGATCTCTCATGCAATTTTTCTCTATTTGGGTCTTTTTTATGATTTTTTTAATTTATGGAGCTTGCTGATAATTTTTCATAAAATGTAGGGAGAAAGACACATAAATAATTAAAATTTGTAAATCCTAACTGAGGATTTTGAAATGGTTTAATCATTATGAAATTGATATGTACTAATTTGGGATTAAATTTTATAACGAAATTGCTTAAATACTTTTAATTTAAAAATTGGAAACAAAAACGAAATAACAATAACAGTTTAAAATGCTGGTGGTCTGAAGATGATAACTTCTTTGGTAAATACCATGCTAATGATACTGTTATTTGTTAGTCAATTATAAGAGACTCCAACCTCTTTTCTTAAAAACTTATTAGCATGACTTGGTTTTGTATCAATGACATAAGCGTATTTTAAGAAAATTATTTTAAAATATTTATATTTTTTATTTTTTAAAAATAATTTGCTTGAATTAAAATTGATATATAACACAATAATATGAATAAATATTTTAATATATACCATAATTATGTAATTTATTTATTTTTTTTAATTTTTTAAATTAGTCAACTAGATTTTATATTAAAGATAGGAGATAATAATATGAACAAAAGTTGATATTTTCGCAACTTTGACTTGTTGGAAAGATAACCACAGTTTTCAACATTCAATTGTCAATCTAGTTTGAAAACTTATAGCACCAAATTTATTGTCACAGTTATAAGAAAGTAGTTACAGAAAAAAAGTAATAAATGGAAGAAGCAATAGAAGCTACAAATTCCAGAGGTTTTCTACTCCACGTAGTTCTTATATTACCGTGTTTTATGTTTATTTTATGCTTCATCATAGCTAAGAAAAATATTAAATCTTATTAATATTATTTTATAATTTAATAACTTTTAAATTTTATCCTTTTTTTTTTCGAACCAGAGACTGAAAGGAAAACCACCTAACGCGGGTGGTACCAAATAGTCCGAATGTCCTACTTATACACACTAACACACATTGACACGCCTATCCGATGTGGGGCTTGAGAGCACCCACAAAGGGACCCCCTAAGCACGCACCACGTGCTCCCACACTCGGTTTTTACTGGGCTCGCTCGAACATTAGGGCTTTTTTTGCGGACTAGAGACTGAAGGGAAAACCACCTAACACGGGTAGTACCCAAACAGTCCGAATGTCCTACTTATACACACTAACACACACTCACACACCCATCCGATATGGGGCTTGAGAGCACCCACAAGGGACCCTTTAAATTTTATCCTTATTATTTACATTTTTCAAGGAAAAAAATAGTTTATACAATAATAAATAACAAACAGAATAACAAATTTATGTGAAAAATTAAATGATGTGACTTATAAATAGAATAAAATATATTTATACTACATCTGGTCTTTAATATAAGAATTAATTGAATGATTTAAGTAGATTAAGAAAATTAGTTAAATTAGTTGTTTGTAATAAATATGTATTGTCTTCTATAAAATACCTTTATTAATAATGTGTATTAGCTAAAATTATCATTTGATGATATTTTTTAACATATGTAATTACTACAAGAACTACGTTAAAAAAAAGATAAATACGAAAAACGAGATGAATTGAAATTTTATACTTAAAACTAAATTGAATATCAAAATAATTTTAGAAGTAATTTATAAAAGGATAAGAAGATTATACACTTTCATAACCTATCATGGCATCACCAATGAAATTTCAAAGGCAAGTCCCACAGAATGGTTGAGCAGTCAATTCTATTTTGAAAAGTCGTGGCATCAAAATGCCTTACCGGCGAGTACTTAAAGATAATGACTGCCAGCTCGGAATTTAAAATGTGGCCCAACTTTTGTCTACTGTGACCCTCATGCATTACCGCAAGGGGAGGGTAAATGCCCAAAAGTCCAACACTCAATTGCCTGAAATTCTCATCCCATTTGGAAATATCTTAGCACCAAAGTAATTTTCACAAATTTAGGAATGAATGTACTCCCTCGCTAGTAGGACTTGGATTTGATAAAAAGAGACAGTCTTCCACAACATGGTAAATTAATATTTAAATTTTTGTTAGAAGATGTGTTCATATTTAACGTTTGATAGTGTCTCGAACAAAATTATCTTCAATAGAAAAATAACTATGTCTGAAACAAAGAGAGAATGTGTTACCTCTGTCATTTATATAAGATGTTAGTAACCCAATAAATTTAATTAAAGGTAAAATTGGTAAAATTATATTTAATTTTTACATACTGAATGGAGTACTAAAAACTACTGATTTCAATTAAGTATAGAAGTTATTTTGCACTCTGTGACATGATGTATGTAATTGGTGCAATTTCCTTCTGTCATTCTGAATATCAAAATATTTCATTATCAATGTGAGTGCATTTTCAGGATATGATATGCTCTTATAGTAAAAAGGGTGCATCTTCTTAAATTCACAAGTACACCTAAGTGTTCTTTATCTTATTAAATTATAAATTTCAAAGTTTGGTTTACAAAATTCACAAGAGTTGACTCGTAAAAATAACTTGTAAAATTTGAAGAACCAAGTAAACTCATTTGTAAATATATAATTTATTGACTTGTAAATGTCAAGGTATTAATTATTTTTAGAGATTAACTTGTAAATATTAAAATGATAATATTGTAAAAATTTGGCTTATATATTTAAAAAACTTGACCAATAAATCTTGAAAATTTACTCATAAATATGCTATGTTTGACTTATAAATGTTAAACCATTTACACTCATCCAGTTCTAAATATAAGACTTATTTTGTAATGTAATTTATACTACTAAATGGGTTTTATATTTAGGACTAGAGTAATATTTTAATAAAAATATTTTTTGATTGGTCACCCATTGCCGACAATGAGTCAATGGTAGTCAATATCATCATCTAAAGAGGAAGCAGTCCACCATGGTTTTGCATTTTACGGGAAAAAATTCATTACAATCAAATTTCAAAAGACTTGATAGTGTTTTAGTAAATTTATAGAAGCTAGTTGTAAATAAATCCCCTATTTAAGGCTAACTTATATATAATTTTTTTCCTTATATAAACTTTTAGAATAATTTTCATTTCATTTCGTCAAAGATTCATATTCTTTAGGATATCCAAAATGTCTGATGTAGTGCTGGAATGGATACATTTGAGAAGGCTTTTACCCAATCGACATGTTCATCTTATAAATAAGACTAACACAAGCCGCTCCTCTTTGACCAAATTATATTGAGAATGCATATCCCCATTGATCATGGCCAAAAAAGTGCCTCTACTTTTATAATATTAAATTAAAAAAAAAAGACAAGTTTCACTATGAGACTATGGTAAACACGACAAAATTTGGTAGGATAATTATTTTGAACATTTGAATGGTAAAATGAATAGCTTGAAGAGTGGTATGTTTTGAGGGTTTCTTTTATATTATCAAATGTCTACGTAAACGTCAATTAATTGATAATATAAAATTATATAAAATCAAATTATTTATTACATAATCGATATATCAAGGAAGAAACGGGGCCACATCTATTTTGAATTTTTCTTTCACAGCCAGCAGAAGCTGTTTTGTTTACAGCCATTTGTCTTGTACGAAACAGCTTTCTTTTTTTTTTTTAAAACTATGTACATGGTTTTAATTTATTTAGAAATATGCTTTTACTTTTTTTATCCTAAAATTTTAACCGAAAAAGCAATAATATTGATATCTTAAATATTGATAAAAATTATCAAATGCTAGGATAGTAAATTTAATTTTTAAAACAACTATGATTGTTATAAAAAAAATAATTCTTTAAGTCCAATAATTTTAAGATTAAAAAACCAAAAATATGTTTTTTACAGTTAAGAACTAAGTTCAAACATTATATAAATTGTGACAACTGTTCTTTCAAAACCATTTTAGATTAAATCCAACAATTTATTTGAATGATTAACCATGATAGAAAAGAAGAAACCTTAAAATTTTAAAATCGCTATCATAGTTAAAAGAAATAAACTTATATTACGAGCCACATCAATCGTTAACTTAGGCCTTGGACTTTCAAAGTCTAGAAATATCATTCAACCGTTAGCCCAAACCAAACTTATACTTTCAAACACACGAACTAATAAAACATTTTAATATAAGCCATGAAGCCCATTAGTCAAAAGTCAACACTATTAAATGAGTATAATACGCAAAGTCTTAAATATCTCTGGCCTTCCAATGATCTCCATATCAGATAATAGTAATTAAAAGTATTAGTTTACAGCATTAGAGTATATGGGCTATATGTGGCAATATATAATAATTTAGCGCATAAAACAAACGAAGGGAGGCTATACAAGCTGTAACAGCACACTATGCCTCCGGAGCCTTCCTTGATGGGCCACCACCGAAACTATCACTTGAAGATAGTAAAAACCACAGGGTGAGACAAACGCCTCAATAACCAACTTTCCAACTCATCATACATACTAACATGTACTCGTGAGATGTCGAGTGAGACAGTTATTAATTCTCGAAAACATAGATATATAATTTCAATCATCCAAACCCTACTATGGAGGCTAACACACAAGCTATATAAGTCTATCCCTCACTATAGGGGATTAATCAGACATATAGGCTTATCTCTCACTCTGGGGGACGAATAAGAAGCCACAAAGGCCTATCCTTCACTATGGGGGAAGAAGGAAGAAGCCAACCAATATGCACCAATGACAGCCTTATCACATGGTAGGATAGGGCTCAATCCAAAATCCAAATAACAACCAATCATTTACAATATAACGAAAAATGTCTCAATAATCTTTTCTCAGTATAATCCATAGGATATAAATCATATATCTTTTTCAAACTTCTCAATCATAACTTCCAAAAATCCCACAAGACGATTTTTTATAGCTCAAAAGATATAATATATTTACTTGAATTCCAAATAACAAATATTATTCAAAAATAGAAAAAATACTCACAAACAACACATTAGCACATATAATAAGTGGAAAGTGATTACCTCTCGCCAAAGCAATACTAAGGATTACCACAAGGTCAATCCTTTGCTCAACCAATAATTAATTTACACAATTAATAAAATCACATATTAATATAAACTAATTGATTAATTAATTAAACTTCTCTATATTATTTAAATTTCTAATTTAATTAAATTTTTATTCTAAATTCCGCAACTCTCATAACCCAAAAATTATTAAGTATAACTTAAAATTTCCTAAAAGCCAAATTATTTATTTACCACCTCCAAATTATTTACTTTAATAAAAAGAACTTTTCAAAATTTCCAAATGTAAAATTACTATGTTTTAAATTCTAAAAATCTCATTTTCAGTTTAAACCTTCAAAATCAAACTATCAAAAATTTAATAATATTTCAAATATTTATAAATAAATAATCTACTCAAAACTTTAATGATATAACTACCATATATATATCCGTAAATAATAAACTTTTTAACTACAATAATTATTTTAAAACCTCCCATCACCCAATAAGTAAAACTAGACCGATTAAAATCTTAATAATATGTCAAACAACCCAAATAAATTACTTAATTTGAATTTAATCGGTAAAAATATAATATAAATCATATATAACAGATTTTTCAACTAGAAGAATTCATTTAAGCACTAAAAACCAACAAATGAACAAATCTAAATTGGTTAAAATTAACAACTCATTTACTTTTAAATTTTTATAGTCATCTTTTACCAAAATTCTATATTTATATCATATATAAGTCTCAAAATTTTCTCTAAACACTTTAGTAATACTGGCATTAGGAAACCTAAAATATATAGGAAATATTCATGAACAAAGTTTGATAAAAAGAACTATATTTGTGTGCCTAGATGATCTCCAAAGCTTATATTACCCTTCAAAATACCAGAACTTCTCTGCGCCTCTCTCGTTCTCTCTTTCTCTAGTTCTCTCTCTCTTTCTCGTTCTCTCTCTTCTTTCCCGCAAATGACTCAACTTCTACGTCTCCTCTCCCTTTTATTTTTCATTTCTCCAACCACTCGCTCCCATCTTCTGGCATTAAATCTTCCTCCCTTAAGTCTTCTTTCTCTCTCCCCAAAATCTTCCTAATCCTATTTTTTTCCACACGTCTGCCCCATTTTCCACTCTCTCCCAAATTTTCCACTTCACATTTCAACTTTTCACTAAAAGTTGGTGGAAAGTTGACTCTATTATTTTTTTTAAAAAAATTTTAGGATATTACATAAATTGTACTACTTCCATTCCTTTTTATAAGCAACAACTATCATCCACCTTTTATCTCTAAATATAAGTAACATTTGTAAGTCGTCTTAAATTTTTATAACAAATTTTCTATTTTACCCCATTAATTACTTATTTTAATATTTAATATATTTATTGTATTATTTTTCAAACCATCATCTCTCTCTATCATACATTTTTTCTTTTTTATAATTCTCTTTATTATAATAATTTTTTATTCTCTTTCTTATACTTTCTCTCCCATAAATAAGAGTATTTTGGAGAAAGAACTTCTAATTTTTACCTATTTATTATCTTTAACTAATTTTTTTATCTACATAATAGAATCATATGTTGCTTATAATAATAGATAGAGGGAGTATAAAATTAAAAAAAAAAACTAAATATTTATAGAAAATGACGAAAATAAGATAACTTTGAATGGGTCAACCTGCACATAAAAGAAGTAAGGGTGGTCTTCCGTTTGTGCCATATTCTCTCCATTTCCAACTCAGTGCAGGCATCATTCGCAAACTACTCTGAAGGCTGAAAGCAGAAAATTTCCCTTCATGTTATCCAGAATCGCAGTGACATCTGTTCTGATCATCAACGTTCTTCTTTTCTCACAAGCACAATCTTCGTGGGTTCAATCAGCTTACTGGTTCTCTGGCAGTGGATTTCCAGTTTCCGACATAAACTCTCATCTCTTCACCCACCTCATTTGCGCCTTCGCAAATGTTAACTCTTCGTCCTTCGAGCTTTATGTTGCTTCAGATGACGAGCAATCCTTCTCTACTTTCACGACCACCGTAAGACGAAAGAACCCTTCCGTCATTACGCTTCTCTCCATTGGAGGTGGCCTCGCCGATTACTCTGCGTTATCGTCCATGGTAAGTAACGTGTCTTCTAGGAAATCTTTCATTCAGTCCTCTATAAGAATCGCTAGGTCTTACGCGTTTCAAGGGCTGGATCTATCCTGGGTTTCTGCTAACACCAGCTCTGACATGAACAATATGGGAATGCTTTTTAAAGAGTGGCGAGAAGCTGCAAATTCTGAGGCTCAAAACACTAGTAACCCAGAATTGATCTTAACTGCAGCTGTTCAATTCCGGCCAGGTTCGGATTTTGGATCCTACCCAGTTGAATCAATCAGAAGCAACTTGAACTGGGTGCATGTTATGGCTTATGATTACTACATGCCCACGTGGGCAAATTTTACTGGTGCTCATGCTGCTCTGTATGACCCTTCAAGTGATGTTAACACTGATTCTGGTATTAAGGAATGGATTGGTAGAGGAGTTTCTGCAAACCAGTTGGTTTTGTCTTTGCCTTTTTATGGATATGCCTGGACTCTTGAGAACCCCAAGGACAATGCAATAGGGGCACCAGCTACAGGTCCAGCAATTACAGATGATGGGGATATGAGTTATAAGGACATCAAAGCTTACATTCGGAGATATGGGGCTACAGTACTGTATAATTCTACCTATGTAGTGAAATACTTCTCAGTTGGATCAAATTGGGTTGGTTTTGATGATGCTAAGGTTCTCAAAATTAAGGTGTCTTATGCAAGAGAAAAGAAGCTACTTGGTTATGTTGTGTGGGCTGTTTCTTATGATGACGACAATTGGGAGCTTTCCACTGCAGCAGGTGAGAAAATGGCATATTAGATAACAGAGACTTTCCGTTGATACTCATTTCCTTTTCTGTTCTTCATGGTTGTTAATTCGTGTTTTAAAGTTAAGAGTACTAAGATAGGTTTATGACTTGAACTGACACATACAGTTTCATAGATTACTGCAGTGGTTAGATTACTACAATAGTGTCCAGCTTTATAATTTACATGACGGATATTTTCTCAGCTCAAAATTTTGAAGACACTGGACACAGTAGAGGAAGATTATTAGCTATCATTTTGACTCCAATTGCAGTATTTATTCTCCTCTTGGGAGCCATGATGTTTTGCTTAAGGAAGAGAATATTCAGATCCATAGGTAATATTTTCAGCTTTTTCATTCTCTTATGTCTGTAACCAACATGGTTCAAAACTTCAAGCCACTGACATTTTGAATATTAAATGTATCAATAGAGATGGTTGAAGCTGCTAGAGGTTCCAAGTTTAAAGCAAATAAAGGAGATGCAGAGCATTTTCATGGCAATGGTCCTGATTTGCAAGTCTTCAGCTTTTCAGACATTGAGGAGGCCACAGATGGCTTTTCCATTGAAAATAAACTTGGGGAGGGTGGTTATGGTCCAGTTTACAAGGTAAATTTTGTTGGAAACAATCCTATAGTAAGGTGGTTCAACTAGTTTAAATTTTTTACACCAGAAGCTCCTTTCCATGGGCATTGAATCATTAATACCAACGGGTTAAGTGTTCAATTTCTGACGCCCTCTGTTCTCTTTAGGGTGTATTAGCAGATGGTCAGGAAATAGCAGTGAAAAAGCTAGCAGAAGCTTCCAAGCAAGGATTTGAGGAATTCAAAAATGAGGTAACACTTACTGCAAGACTACAGCATGTGAATCTTGTTCGGCTCCTGGGGTTCTACATTGATAGAGGTGAACAAATGCTGGTTTATGAGTACATGCCAAACAAAAGCCTTGACTTCTACCTCTTTGGTTAGCAATTCTTTGTCGAGCTCTAAATCTACTATAATTAAGTAAATATGTGCATCACAGTGCAAGTCAGTGTTCAAAGTTAAACTGATAGCGTCTTGTGTATTTTCGATATAGATCCTATTAGACGATATTTGCTTGATTGGGGAAAGCGAGTTGACATCATTGAAGGAATTGTTCAAGGGCTTGTTTACTTACAAGAATACTCAAGATTAACAATAATTCACAGAGATATCAAAGCTAGCAATATTTTGTTAAGTGATGAATTGAAGCCAAAGATATCAGATTTTGGTATGGCAAGAATATTCGCAAAAGATGCAGACGAAGCAAACACAAGCAAGATAGTGGGAACCTAGTGAGTGTTTCGCTTCCTAAAATTATATATTTGTATTGTTTAGTGATCCATCCACTCTTACACAACTCTTTTTGCTCTATTTTTTGTACAGTGGCTATGTTCCTCCTGAATATGTTAAAAAGGGCCTCTATTCTACAAAATCTGATGTATATAGTTTTGGAGTTTTACTTCTACAAATTATAAGTGGCAAGAGGACTACAAGTCTTTATGGCGAACAAGAAAATTTAAACCTCACAGGATACGTAAGTACCTTCTTCTACTTTGCTAAAGAGAGAGGTCTTAGAGGGACTTTCAAATAGACACATTGTACATAAGTTGAGCATAGAAAGCCAACTATGAAGACTCACACACAGGCTTATCATCTTCATACATATACACTTGACTAAAGTTATGACTAAATATTATTTTCATAATTGGTTTGATATATTTATCTTCTGTTGACTGGCTCTCCATAATAATGTTATGAAGTCTAAATCTTTTGTTTGGTTATCAATAATAAAGTTATATAGTGAAAATATGATTAATGAATATTAATGTTGACAGGCTTATGAACTGTGGAAAGAAGGGAAAGGCATGGACTTTGTGGGTCCTACTCTTGATGACTCATCTTCAACATGTAAATTGTTGAGGTGCATGCAAATTGCTCTGTTATGCGTGCAGGAAAGTGCAAATGACAGGCCTTCTATGTTGGAAATTTCTTCAATGTTGAAAAGGGAAAGCAATTTGACGTTCCCAAAGAAGCCTGCGTTTTCTAGGGAGAATAATGTAGAAGAAGCTAATGAAGGAATAGTGCAGATGGAAACTAAATCCATCAACGAAATGACAGTCTCTGAACTAGTAGCTAGATAGTGGAGCTGAATACTTGTGGAAGTTAAAAACGTATTTATGTAATAATACAATGCCAGTCAGTTTCTTATTATTTGTCATTTATAAGAGAGATTTTAGTTCTTTTTTATTTGTTTTTTGTATTATCTTTAATATTTATTTTCAATTCTGCTTCTATTAATTATAATAAAAGTGGGGAGAGAGGGAATAGGTGAGAGAAAGTATAGTGGCATTTTGTTCCTTTTTTTTTTCTCTTCCAAATATCCATAACTTTTAATAAGGGCAGAAGTAAAAAGTTTCATTTATTTAATACTCTTTTTGGTATATGTAAATAACAAATATGCAACAAGATGGTACTAGATTCCGCGATTGATTGTTCATGTATATAGCATATTATTGTATGACTCTAAATTATTGGTCAGAAAAGTTCCCTCCCTGTGTCTCCATTTTCTAGTACAGTGTTAGCATCACATGCCATAAATACACCACCAATTCATGACGGCAAAATAGGAAACCACTGGTGATAACTATTTCAGAGAAGAAGTTGAAATCTCTTATTCCCTCCATTCTTTTCATAAAAAATAACTACCAAATTCATGCGGTTCAAAATATTAGTTAAATTTAATTTAAAAAAATAAATGTGTAAAATACTACTATATACATATTTTTTCCAATTATTTTCTTGTTGTAAATAGCAAGGAAAAACAAACCGGATTAGATACTAAATCGATTGAAGTAATGGTTTAAAAATTAGTTGGTCAAACCGAGGTTAACTCAGGGTCAAATTGGTAAAATAATATAATTTAATTGAGAATAACAAAATATAATAATATTAATGATTATTAATAACAAAATATAAGAAAATATAATAACAGTTTGGGTGTAACAATGACAAAGTATAACAACAATGAGAATTTTAATCTTTATTATTCATCAATAACTAAAATTAATAATAATTGATACCAAAATCATTATTAAAATTCATTCAAATCTATAGTAACTGAGATATTAAAAGTTGAATGAGAAAAAAATAAAACCCATAATAACATAATTATCCAAATCGATTCATTACCGGGTTTTACTATTTTTCATCGGTTCACCTTGATTTGACCGGTTTGATGTTGGTTCAACTCTTGCCTGGTTTAGCAACCAAACCAAACCAGAGTACTGGCTGATTAACTAGTTTTCCTGTTGAATTAGCTAGTTCGATCTAGTTTTTTTTTTCCTTAGTAAAGAGAATATATGAGAGATAATAAGTGAAAATTTATTGTAGAGAGACAATAAGTTGTATATATTTAATGGGGGTAAAGTAGAAAGATCAATTTAAAATTTCAGATAAAGAAAATTTGTTTCTTATATTTAAAAAAAAATCACAAGATAGATTGTTTCTTATAAAAAAAGACGGAGGGAATATAAATTTTTTTCCAGCAGAAATCTCTTATAATATAAATGAGACTAAGAGAACCATATAAATATCTTCTATTAAAAAAGCCAGTTGGAGTATAGTTTAAATTTTATATCTTAAATATTACTACTTTCGGTTCCAATTATAAAATCTTGTTTGTAACTACAAAAGAGGTCATATAATTAGGATACAAACGAAATCTTATAATTAGGATCAAAGTTAGGTAGTACATTATAAGTAACATTTTATGATATGCTATTTTACAAGATTAAATTTTAAAAAATGAGAATAAAATTTTCTACTTTTTTGTGAAATATCATTTTATTATATGTAGTATTGACAAGAAAAATTTAGAAAAGATTATTAGTGGTTTCTGATAATTAAAAATATTGTAAGTTTCATGGACAAAAAAGAAATTGGAAGGCGAGAGGCAATAAAGCTTGTGAGCTTCTCATGGGTCTTAAAAAATCACTCTAAACTTGTTTAATGTTCAAGAGAACTCAACTAAATTTTATATTTAGCACAGGAGGTAGTATAATGTTATAGCAAAATCTTTTTAAAAAATCATATCATATTTATTAAACTTAAATAATTTATTTAATTTTCTAAAATTATTTAAATTAGATAAGTAAGTTTTACATTAAGAACTAGGAGAATATTATAAGATTTGTGCTTAGTCTATAAAAAAATACAGTTTTGCTTACCTTTAGAAATTAGGTCTAGTCTCAAACAAAACAAATAGTTCTTGAAATTTTGACTCATTCAAAACTTACTCATCCAACTATGATTGAGTGTAATTTTTAACTTGTTTAAAACTCAATTCATAATTTTTTATCTCATAATTTTTTCTTTATCATCTATAACTCAATTATCCTGCTGGATTTGATAGAAAATCAGAAATAAATATAATGCGTCATCTTTGGGACATGAAGAGAAAATTTATGACAAATCACCCCGCTCGTATCTGCGTCATGCACAACATACCTCACTCATAAAATTCCGTATAAAGAAAAATATAAATGGTACAAATAATTTATCATAAATTATACCCTCAAATTTGTCTTAATTTTAGTTTTAATCTATCAAATTTCAAATTATAAGCTTTAGCTTTCTAAGGAGCAAAATGGTTCAAATTCTCATTGAATTATAAGACCAACATTTTAAATGAAAAGAAGTTATGGTTTTAAATTTGAGAGACCAAAATCAAAATAAAAACAAACTTGAGGACCAAAAATTATATTAATTCTAAATTATATCTGCAAATGTTATACCTATCTGTTTAACTCGCATAGTTGGGAAAAATGTTTTTCTGTTGCCATAATGTGTACAATTTTTCATTCACGAAAGAATAAACAACTAAATGGTATTAATAACTAATAATTTTTTTGAGATATAATATCTAATAATTAATAAAGCACGCTTACCCTACTCCTCCACTACAACACGAGGGGCAATCAATTTTTGAATCTCTAGTATGAACTGAGCTATGAAGATTGAAATAAAAACAAGCCCCAAAAAAAAAAAAAAAAAAAGCTCGTCACACTTGGAGATGAGTCATGAGGCATTTTCACAATGATCGGAGTATGGGAATTAGTCTCTTTTGGGAAGACATGATCTGTTATGAGCAAGAGCAAAGCCCAATGATGCAACCATTGCCACCAGGTAACCAGTTATTGCTCCATAGCTTACGCAAATAGGCCATTCCTGCAAAATATCAAGTGACATTTGAACTGCCAATTTTGAAGAACTTAACGCAATAAGTTGTGGTCGAATCAGATGAACATTACATAAATTTTTATATCACCATGATCCTAACAGACATTCAATTTGCAGCTTTGAGGAAGGATTATCGGACACTTCAGGAAAAATTTAAAAGGTCAAACAATAAACAAAGGACTTGAGATAGCTTAGCAATAATCCACCAACATTGTAGGTTTGCAATCACAAGGTTTATCTTGGATGGAGGAAAATTTTGGAACATTAGTAAACCTATTTATGGGATTGAAGGTGAAACTATCAGATGGTTTGGTAGCTCAAGTTAATTGTTCTTCACATTTCCGAGTCAATCCCATGAAGCATAGAAAGGAATTTAACTCCATAACCCCTTAGTTTAGCAAATGATGGCCTATGTACGTGTCTGTGTAATGATGTCAAGAACAGCGGGGCCCCGGAAGAAAGATTACCTGCCATGGCCTCTCCCAGTCAAGTGGCATTGGCCAAGCCCCAAACCAGCCCCCAATAACTGCTCCATGAGCTGGTAGACAAATCAAATACTCGATCGATCCATTAGGCCTGAGTGTAAAAAATGGGAAAAATATAACATCATGATTTAATTCATATTAATAAACTGAAGGGATTAAATAGAAAGATAACAAATCTAGTCCGCTCCAGGACATAGTTAAATACATACCACCATCACTACCCTAAAATGAACTCCCAACCGAAAAAAAGAACATCTAAAAAATGGAGCACGAGAAGATATTATCAATCACCAAAGAGGAAAATGCTTTTATTAACCAAAATAAAAAAAGAGGAACATACTTTGTCTGTGCAAATATACGTCTCCAATCTGCCCATGATGAACCAAGAACACATGAAGCTGGAACTGTCTGCCATAGTACAAGATGTGAGTTGATGCATGTACCACATACTAAACCATGGGTTTGTAACTCACAAAACAGAACTATCCCTTCAAAAGCTTCCTTTTGTTCAGGGACAAGGAAGGAGGCTACAACCAGGTGACAAAAAATCTTAACGGTCAAGAACTTTTCAGATAAGAAGTGTGAACAGATATTGTATTTGTGGAAGTGATTAAAGTATACTTTACATATTTTCACTTCTTTTGCAGTTAGGAAAGGTGTTTCCTGATGATATTCATGCTCTTGGGGTTTGCAAGTATAGGCAGGGAAATTATTAAGATACTTGTATGTTAGCAGAGACGCAGGGGCAGAAATCTAAAGTACTTTATATTTGCATTTGATGCATGTTGCTAGAGATTCATAAAAACATGTATGGAAGAATGGACGGCAATGTCTTATCTTTAAAAGCATGAATGATGCCTAATGCTTTATGCAGTGGGTACAAAGATTCTGATACGATACTAAATGCACATTGAGTTAGTACCAATCAATGGCAGAAAATCGGAAGAATATAGAAACCAGTGACACATATGCTGAAGGTTATTACGTGACCTGTCAGTGACAGACATTATAGTTCATTTTGATCTATCTAAGAAAAAGTAAGGAAATGCAAAGACGAAACAATCTAATGTATCAAGAGTATAATTGATGCAGAAAGCATGTGAGATTGACCAAACGCAATAAAAAAACTGCTGTAATATTTTAAAAGGTGCTGCTAAACAAATAAATGATAATGAAGCACTCACTGTAAATACTGACATCATAAGAGACCAGTTAACTGTCTTTGGTAGATACCTATCCCAAAAAGATATACAAAAATCATAATCAATAGTTATATCGAGATCTATTACATGGTACAAGACCAAAAAAAAGATCTATAATGGCACAGTTTAGAACACAGCTAGACACATAGTAGAACAGACTAGATAACAAAAACGAATGTAACTGGCCAGATTTGAACGCACAAAAGAATATAAACTCATAGATCCCTATGTCCGGCATTATGGATATAAATCATGTACTCTATACCACTTATTTCACATACTGTATTGTGACTGGCGCCCCCAAAGCAACAGCTCCTAAAAAATTTATTGCTGCCCCTGTTTAGTAAAATGCAACCTTTTCTCAACAAACATGTCATAAAGTAATACTGCTGAGAAGCAAAAATACCTAGGTTACGATGAAAGAACATTAAAGATTCTATGTAGAGAGGGTAAGTGCCGCAATCTAGGAAAAACTTTAAGAGCATATATAGTCTTTCAGTTTGGTTGTTGACTCTAAACAGCATGGCAAGAGAATATCATAAGGGAGCATACGCAGATTAGCAAAATCCAAGCAGACATGACCAGTGTTTCAACTAACCTGCTGGCAGTGCCAGCAAACCTCGTCCGACAGCTCGCAGGTACTGCACAAAAGCGCCAAAAAAAAAAAAAAACGACAGTTAAAACAACCAAAAGTAGAAACCAGATAGCAAGAGATTAAAGTGCATAAACTTCGATTTAGTCTGATCCTCATTTGTACTGCAAAAATGGTAAAAATTTTGAAAGAAAATGGAGCTCGAATTTTACCGTGCAACGTTTGCGATTCCGTCGGTATCGACTGTAAAGAAGTATCACAATTGGCAGCTCTATAATCTAAATGATACAGATATAAAGAATCAGAAGCAAATCGAAATTTTTAAATACAATGTAAAAAAGCGGAGAATCAAACGTTACCCAGATCAAAAGCAAGGTGTTAGAAGGGTCAGTAAGGAGGTGGATGGAGTAGACGCTGTTAGCCACCCAGAGAGAAAAAGCGAGGCTACACCCGCATAGTAGTTGTACGATTAAGGCCTCTGAAGCTGAGATGAACGGCGAACCATCGATCGCTGAGTCCTTCGTTGCCGTCGCCTTCGCCATGCTTCGCCGGCAACCGGAGGAAGAAGGCTTACGTTCTGGACGTCAAGGGAAAAACCCAATCAGCATGGCTCAATAATGGGCATGGCCCAATTAACTTCATGGATACTGTAGGCCCGTTTGGTTCAATTCTGGACTATGGTAAGGGGAATCACCGACATCATTCTCTCAATATCAAATTACCCCGCCATAACCAATAAGTATTGGTCAAGTAAAAAGAATTTGGACACCTTAAATATTATATCCTGGGTTTGATTTTTGGAGTGTTGTATATGGAACAAACACTGTTAGGAGGGGTCCCCACTACGACGCCTGACAGTACCTGAGATATTAGTCTCAAATGGGAGGATATTCTAGGCAACCAAAAAAAGAAAAATTACTCCGCCATTGGGTCTAACGGAAGGGCCTCGCAACAAAGAAGCAAGTTAAAAGGAACCTGTTCATTGAAACTATTATGAGACTTAAATTTGGTCGTTTTTAATAGAAAAAATGACACTAAGGTCTCATAAAACATAAAATACTGTAAAAAGGTCTCAAAAAACTTGGTAATGAATCTGAAATCCCAAAAAGACTTGAATGCAATTTACTAAAGTGTAAAAAGACTTCTCTACCTCTAATGAAATGCATCCAAAGTAAATAAAAGTTGTTCTGTTTTTCAGTATGAAAATAGCCACTCCATACGCAGAAAGCAAGAGGGAAAAAACTTAAACTTCATTTTGTTTCTTCCCCATTTCCATATGAAAATCTCATCCACTCCACCCATGTCAACCGTTGGCAAAAAAATCACTTGTATCTTTGGTTTGATATGTGCTTGGTCATTTAAGTTGAAGTTTTATTATAAGTGAGTAGAGTGATGATAGATGTTTTGTTTTTGGACATATTGTGGGGGGTTGAAGGTGGGCTTGCTTTGTCTGGGCATGGTTTAGTGGGAAATGATGAGGAAGATGAAAATTAGTGTGACTAAGAACTCTTATTGCAAAATAGGAAAATATGTTGTTAATATGGGTCGCGATAATTGTTAATATAGTTTCTTGACTCGTCAATGATACCTGTGTTGTGCATATTTACATTAAATGGTATTGTTAAATTGTTGACACAAAAGTCATGACCTTCTATGCCCTTGAATCATTAGTAGAGGTTACAAAAAGAGGAAAAAGAAGAATGGGTAGTCACATGAGGCAAAAAGAAGAAAAATAGTAAAAAGAAATGCCACTTTGAACTTAGACAAATGATGGCAAAAGAATTTTTTTTTTTAAGTAGAAATGACATTTTTTTTGGTAAATGTCACAATACACACAAACAATTAGTTTGATATTAGATATATGCAATTGTACTTTTTTTAATGGGTTGTGAAATCAGTGTAATTACACGTGTATGGAGTTGTAAATAAAAATTAGCTATATATTACATTCTGATATATAATTAGTTGTTATTATCTGCACTTTTATTATTAACACACCCTTCATCACTTGTCACTCGTTGTACTATCAGTTATCAATTTACATGCTGATATAAATTTGAAAAAAAAGTGATTTTATGTCACATAATACTATACAAAGTCATATAATATCACCAACTTCTCAAACTAATTCTTTTTTTTTTTATGATAATATAGAATCGTTATTAAAAGTCAATCATCACCAATATAAAATTATCAAATCACTTGTCATCAACGGTACCTTTACTTGTTAATAGTGACATTATGACTTGTCAATAACATCATTGTGAATCTGCTTAAGTTTTGAAAAAATATCATTTAAGTAACATAAATTTCAGTAATACATTCTGATTATAATATGATATAGGATGATATAATAATTCTATTTTTAAATAAAATATAATAGAATTGAAGATTTGAATCAATGTTCATTGCATCAATTGTTAATATTTGCATATAACTTGGCAATTTTCCTGTTGATATATGTGATTTTGACAATTAGTTTGCTTTTTGTTTTTTGAAAAAATAACTTCGAGGGAATATGAACACCAGAAGAATTACTGTTAAAAAATTCAATATGTAAAGATAAAGTAGTTCTTATTATAAATCACAACAAACAAAGTAACTTAGGTTGACAAAAAAAAAAACTCATGTATCAATATGGACACTATATAACTTGATATTTTTTCAAACTTATATCAGCAAGTAAATTAATAAGTGATAGTGCAACAGTTGACAAGTCACACTGAAACCATTAATAAGTGAATGTGTTGTTCATGACAAATGATTTTATAATTTCATATAAATGATAATTGACTTTTAATAACAATTTTATATCACATTATAATCAAAATATATTAGTTTAGACGAATTGACGATATTATATGATGTTGTATGATATTATGTAACTTGAAATAATATTTTTTTCAAATTTATATCAACAAGTAAATTGATAATTGATAATGCAATGAGTGACAAGTGATGAAGGGTCTATTGATAATGAAGAGTGCAAATAATAGCAATTAATTATACATCAGAATGTAATATATAGCTCATTTTTATTTACAACTTCATACACATGTAATTACACTGATTTCACAACCTATTAAAAAAATACAATTGCATGTGTCTAATATCAAACTAATTGTTTGTGTGTATTCTGATATTTACAAAAAATGTCACTTCTATTTACAAAAAAATTCTTTTGCCATTATTTGTCTAAGTTCAAAGTGGATTTTTTTTAATCATTTTTTTTTCTTTTGCCTCATGTGGCTACCCATCCCTCCTTCATTGTCTCTTTTTCCTCCTTTTGTAACCTCTACCAATGAGTCAAAGGTATAGAAGGTCATGGCCTTTGTGTGAAAAATTTAACAATACCATTTGAAATAAATCTGCACAACATGGGTATCAATGTATCATTGACAAGTCAAGAAACTATATTGACAATTATCACAGCCCATATTGATAACATATTTTTCTGTTTTGCAACAAAGTTTTTAGCTATACCAACATTCATCTTTCTCATCAATTCCCACCGAATCATGCCCAGATAGAGCAAGCCCACCTTTAACCCCCCACAATATACCCAAAAATATATAGAACACCCATCATCATCCTACTTACCTATAATAAAACTCCAACTTAAATGACCAAGCACACATGAAACTAAAAACACAAGTGATTTTTGCCAATGATTGACATGGGTGGAGTGGATGAGATTTTTAGATGGGAATGGGAAAGAAACAAAATGAGGTTTGGGCTTTTTTCCTCTTGCTTTTCACGTGTAGTGTGACGATTTTCAAACTAAAAAACAGGACAACTTTTAGTTATTTTGGGTGCATGTCACTAGGGGCATAGAAGTCTTTTTACACTTCACTAAATTGCATTCAAGTCCCTTTGAAACTGCAAATTCATTGCGACATGGACCAAATGTCTTATCCAAGCCAAGGAACTAACTCCGAATAGTCATGACAAATGATGATTGAGGCAAAGTTTTCTGAGACTTTTTTTTATAGTATTTTCTGTTCTATTAGACCTCAGTGTTATTTTTCCTTTTTAATATATCCATATAACTTTTAAAAAATATTTTGAAATGAAAAAGTAAATATAAAAAATAAAATAAAAGTGAAAATAACTATATGATCTCAATCAGAAAATTGAAGGTAAGATAAATCAAAGGGAAATTTTCATTTTAGGACTACTATAGGCAATTAATATCAGTCAACTCCTAGAACATTTTAAAACTTCAGTCAACTCCCTAGAACCGAAATGAAATAACTCTCTCTGTCCCTTTTTATAAGCAACAACTACTATCCCCCTTTTGTCCCTAAATATAAGCAACATTTGCAAGTTGTCTTAAATTTTTATAGCAAATTTCTTATTTTGCCCCTATTAATTACTTATTTTAATATTCAATATATTTATTATCTCATTTTCCAACCTATTATCTCTCTTTATCATACATTCTCTCTCTCTTTCATAATTTCCTTATTCTTTTTCTTATACTCTCTCCCCCATAAATAAGGATATTTTAGATAAAGAACTTCTAATTTTTACCTATTTATTTTCTTTAACTAACCTTTTGATCTACGTAATAGAGTCCTATATTGCTTATAATAAGAGACAAAGGGAGCAAAATTTAATGGTAAATTACAATAATACCCCTCCTTTTCATTTTTTTAAAATAAATATTAATTGTCGTCGGAGCTCCGGCCATCGACATTCATGTGGCTACTATTGGAGCTCCAATGGCTAGAGGATATTTTTTTAAAATAAGGTGGCCAAAAGGAAATTTGAACCCATGACCCCTTGGCATACCAAAAATAATGTGACCACCAAGCCAACCAAACTATTTAATCACATAATGGAATATATATATATATAAAATAAAACAAATGCAAGTGTTCAAGCGTAAATGAACAAGTGAAATTTGACAATTTACAACAAAAATTTGGCGATTTACAAGTAACATAATAGAATTCACAACCCCAAATACAAGATTTTATGTGTGAATAAGTAAGTAAAATTCGAAGATTTACAACAAAAATTCATGGATTTACAACCCGAATTCAGAGATTCAAAAGAAACATAAGGGAATTCATAATCCCAAATGTAAGTGTTTGAGTGTCAATGAACAAGTGAAATTTAGTGACTTATAATAAAAATTCAACAATTTATAACTCAAATTTGATGATTCACAAGAAACATAAACATTACAAAACTTATAAAAGAATTCAAAACCTCAAAAACAAGATTATTAAACATACACGCGAATTATTAATTCAAGACTTGGTTCATCTCTGAAATTGTATCGTAAGATCATAAGGGTATGCCTCAATAACAATTGTAGCACAAGATGTGGCATCAATGTCATAGCCATATAGTAGCCCTCCCAAAGCTGAAAAGAGAAATGTGGGAATTTCAAAAATCTATTAGGTATCAATGTAAAAATCAAACATCCGGTATCAACAACTCAATAGGGGCATTATATATATTTCATGTGAAGGAATAAGCACAAAATGATGAGATAAATTTAGTCAACCCAGTAGTGTGAATGCATGCTAAATTGAGCATTTAGATATTAAGTAGTGACTTATGTTTTGGGGAGAAAATATTTAGTAGGGTCAGGGTACAAGCTCAAGGCACCCTTTGTTATATTGATTTTTTAATATCCCTTAAAAAACTATCTTGGGAATTTATGGGTTCTAGTTTGAGTTCAATATGCCAAAAAGAAAGCCAATAACCTTGAATTGCCTTGGGAATCAAGTTTCTACAAAGCTAAGGAAATAAACCCTCAACAAATGCTAAATTGTGTTTAATAAGTCTCGATTTACACGAAACATAAATACTTGTATTTGTGGTTATGGATTTTCTTATAAGTTTTGTAATGTTTATGTTTTTAGTGAATTATTGAATTTATTTTGTAAATCGCTAAATTTCACTTATTTATTCACACTCAAACATTAACATTTGGGAGTTGCGAATTTTCTTATATTTATTGTAAATCACCGAATTTGGGTTGTAAATCCATGAATGTTTGTTGTAAATCTTCGAATTTCATTTTCTCATTCACACCTAAACATTTGCATTTCGGGTTGTGAATTCCATTATATTACTTATAAATCACCAAAAATTTGTTGTAAATTCTAAATTTTACTTGTTTATTTACACTTGGATACTTGCATTTGTTTGCTATATATTTTTTTTACATTATATGATTAAATTGTTTGGTTGGTTTGGTGGTTATATTGTTCTTGGTGTGCCAAGGGGTCATGGGTTCAAACCCTCCTTGGCCACCATATTTTTAAAAAAATTCTCTGGCCACTGGAGCTCTCACCTCTGACAGCGGCCACTTGAGCATCGGTGATCGGCCCTCCAACTACAAGTAATATTTATTTTTTTTAAAAAAGAGGGGTATTATCGTAATTTTACCCTTAAATTTTAATTTCATATTGGTCTTAGGGGGTTGACTGAAATTTTAAAATGTTTTTGGGGTTGACTGATATTAATTACCTACAGTGATCCTAAAATGAAATTTTCTGTAAATCAAATCAGAAAATAAATTAAGTAATGTTCACATAATTTAAGAAAAAATGGTCAAGGAGATGGAATAATTCTCCTTAGTTTTTCTTGCCCTACTATATTTTCCTTAGTTGAAAGAAAGAGGAAATTAGCAAGTCAGAAAGTGGATCCTTGTTGGAATGACATTTTGAAGAAAAATTAGATTATATTTGAAGGCTTTGCTTTTATAAAAGTGTTGTATCATTCTCTTGACAGTCGAAGGAGATAGCGCACCTCAATTCACAGTTAGGATATCAACGTGGCCTGACATTTCTAGCCTCAAAATACAAAATCATATACTGCAAAAGTATATTCTTTACATGAAGCCGTTTCAATTTGGATTTTGATTTACGGATTTTTGTTTTAGGTATCGATTTTTAATTTTGTTGTCATTATCCTAAAATCATATACTACGAAACCCATTTCCAGCAGGAAACCATGACAAGAGTTGGGTCTGCATTGCCAAACAAATAATAATGTTATCAATAACTGAAGCAAAGCTTTGATGCAATTTTCATTCTTCAATTCAATGGCGTCTAAACTCTTTTTCTTCGTTTTATACTTTCCTTTCATTTCTCATTCTTCTGCAGATTCATCTCCCTTATAATGGGTGAGAACTGCTTATTACTATACTAGTGGTGAAATTTCCATTTCAGACATAAAATCTAAGCTTTTCACTCACCTTCTTTGTGTTTTTGCTCATGTAAACGCTTCCAATTACGACGTTTCAACTGACCTTTCTGACATACAAAAGTTCTCCACCGTCACCCGCACTATGAAGCTCCAAAAACCATCTTTACAACCCTTATATCCATCCGGGGAGGTCGAGAAGATTCAATTTTTTTCCTCTATGATAAATGGTTCTTCTTATACAAAATCCTTCATTGATTCATTGATTCGAACAGCTAGGTTATATGGGTTTCAGGGAATAGATTTTTATGGGGTTGGGCCAAGTTCTGCTTCTGTGTTGAGCAATCTAGGAACCCTCTTGAAAGAATGGTAAGAAGCTTAATTTAACTTCTGAGGCAAGAAACTCAAACCAACAAAATTGTTATTGGTTATGGAAGGTTACTATCTTCAAGCTGAAAAATCCATGACTTACCTTTTCGATTCAATACAAAGAAAATTAGATTGGGTATAATTTGTAGCTTATGATTACTGTCTTCCCACAAAGAACAATTTTACAGGTTTTCATGCTGCCTTGTGTGGTCCATCTGGGTGGGTAAATACTGATAATTGTATTGAAGAGTAGAAGAAAAAGGGATTTTCATCTAATAAGCTGCTTATAGGCTTGCCTTATCATGGATATGTGTGGATGCTGCCAAATCCAGCAAACAGCACCATGGGAGCACTAGTATCAGGACCTAGTTTGACAAAAGATGGTTCAATGGGTTACAAGTTGATAAGAAGCTACATGAAGAGCTTTGGGGAGGCATCTGTTGGAGAATATAATTCCAGTGTTGTGGCTAATCAGTTCAAAGTTGCATGATCTTAGATTAATTTCGACGATGTAGAGGCAATCAGAGCTAAATTTTCTTATGCCAAGAGAAATGGGTTGTTTGGTTACATTGTGTTCCAAATGGCTAATGATGATAATTGGATCCTTAAAAACGCAGGTGAATAATATCATTAGTGGGTTAAGCAATACTGCAACATATGTTGCTTGATTTTAAATATCTTACTTGTAACCTTAGCATACCGATTGCTTGTGAAAATGCCAAGCAGCCTTCTTATCCCTTCATCTTAAGTCTAATTGTAAAATTTTGCACATTTTATCAAAGAATGACTGGGTGGAGTTGGAAGCATGTTATGAATGGACAATTGACTATAAGGATCATTGAATATGTTACGGCATAAGGAGTCAAGAACGTGTTGAATTGGAAAATTTCAATAGCAAACACATAATGAATTTTGTCCTTCTGGCTAAAGGCATTGATGAAGATCATGATACAAGGCAGCTACTGAAAATTTTCTGCCAACAACTCTGACCATCATGCTGATACTGCTAATAGGAATAACAAGCATTGACTTTCCCGTGCGATGCACGGATAGAATTTACTTTATTATGAAATCTTTATCATTCCATAGTGTCAGCACAGCAATATTACAATTTATAAACAAATAATGGTATTACAATGATTTACTTAAATGTAATCAGTAGTTTCTTTTCATTACAGTAATTCTAACAAATAAATTCAATACTATTTAGATGGATATGCAAACTACTTTTAGAATGAACCATTTAGTGTTACATATCAATATGAAATAGAATGACGTGAAGTATTTGATTAAAAACTTAGCAAACCCAAGTTGAATATCAATGTCAATTTCTTTTTTTTAGCATAGTTTTATCTATAGTTGAAAAAAATTCATCTTATTTTAAAACACAACTAAAATTTTGTTCACTGCTAAAACTATAAAACCGTATCATTTACCTTAGTTTTATGGCAAACAAACTTAGCAAAAGGTAAACCATAGGACATCCCCTAACCCAAAGAACAAAAACAAAGTAAATAGACGAAAATGAAATTGCTGCCATTTCTGTATTTTGGTACAATTGAAAAGAAAAAAGAAATGCTGGCAATGATTTGATCAACATCATTAAAACCATGGAATTTGAAATTTGAATTTGAATAGGAAAAAAATTAAAATTAGTAGATACACTCTTGGGTCATAGAAGTTGGTTTGCTCTCTCCTACTTTTGAGACAAGATTTTAGCATAGAACCCAACATGTTGAGTCCAAGTACTAAAGCCGGAAAAACGAGTTAAACCCGTCAGATCGGCCTATTTAGGCCCAAAAATTATGAGAACTTGGTTTGAAATTTTCTCCCTCAAATGTAAAACAGGTAAAGTAGGTTGAGGGCTTCAACGGATCAGCCATGCAGGGCTGAGGGCTTCAACGGATCAGCCATGCAGGGCTGAGGGCTTAAATGTTTAGGCCCTTTTATTTTTTAAAAATTTTTGTGTAATTATAATATTATTATTTTTTTATATTGTTAATGATATTTCAAATATTTATTTATTATTATCATTTTAAAATTAAATTTCACAGAATGATTTGATTTATTTAGTTTTAGACAATAATTTGTCTAATTAAATTTTTAAAAAATGGTTAATTTGGATTTTGATAATGATTTGATTTATACTATCTGTGTTGATATTTTTAAACTATATATAGTTGATAAGAGAGTATTTTTATACTTATATAATTTGTGATTCTATAATTTTAAAAAAATGGGTTAATTTGGATTTTCACATAATGATATTTCAAATAGCAAATTTAATAGCTAAAAAATAATATAGTATTTAGTTTCAACAACAATGCAAAATTTAAAAGTAAAATTTCTATAAATAAGAAAAATTTGATATTTTTGTTATGAAAGAAAAGCATACTTATGAAGAAGAGTCATTGATTATAGTGATGATAAAGTTTCAAAAGATTAATGATAGTGTTTGTGTTTACTATACATTTACACTATAGATGAAACTTTTGATGTTGTTATCTTGTTAATGAATGTTTTAGATGTTCTTGAATGTTGATGGATATTTATATATGATGATATTTTGTATTTCTAACTTAATTTTATTCATATTTATGTATTTTATTAATAATTTTATTGGTTTATTTTCAATTTTTTCATAAAAAATATGAGAAATATGAAAAATAGCATTTTTTCTTAAATGGGCTGGCCTTGAGCCGTTAACTTAAGGGTCGGGCCTAGCAAATTGATGTATTTTTTAAATTTCAGCCTTGTAAGGCTAGGCCTGCAAGGCCGGCTCTGATTCCCAACTGTACCAAATACTACATTAAGCCACTACTGCTCATATGAATAGTAATATACATAGAGCATACATGTTTAAGTTATATAAATATATTGCTACTTCTCTAAATGTAACTGAAGTGGTTCCCTTTTTATCCTTAAAAGAACCAATATTGAATTTTACTAACAGATTTACACTTATTCCCCCCCCTGCAGGAGTTCTAGATTTTGCTACAAGAATGATATGTAAACTCAAGAGATATTTACCAGCGGATGAGGAAAATCTCGAGGAAAGTACTTCCGATGTGCTAGTTTTAAAGTATGCTACAGTAATGGCCACATATAACTTTTCAAATGACAAGCAGCTTGGAGATGATGGCTATGGCACAGTATACAAGGTGACATTTTGATACACATATGTACCATATGAAAAGACAAAATTTGAATTGCAGCTATAATGGATTTCAATTTCAATGGGTCAGATAGCAGTATAGTTTCCTTTTAGCTCATGTAGCATGTACAAAATTGTTGAGATGTTCTGAACTCTGGGTTTCATTATTCCGCTAGATGAGTCAATCTTATTACTAACACCAACTTTAATCAAAATAATGGAGCGAACTTCTAACATGAAGTACTGGTTTATCAGTGCATGAAGGAGAACTTCATCTTGCTAGTACACTTGGTTCGATCCCTCTCGTTCTGCTTCTACTCTTAATAACTACTGCCTATATTCTTCCATTTCTTTTCTATTTCATAATATCTTCTCAGTCTACCCCTTTTCCTTTCAACGGTGATTCCAACTGATTTTTGTACTTACGATGATTGATCTAATTGTGCTAAGTATATTTTTCCAACTTATGCTGATTATTAGTCTGACAAAAAAATATTTATTTATATAGGATTTATAATCGTGCCAATATAGAACTTTCACTTCATTTAGATAACAATGAATAAATTGATACATAGAATGCAAAGGAAATTGAACCCAAAAAAAACTATGCCCTCTTCACTCAGTCCCCTTATCATAGTGTTAATTCTAACTAAGAGGCTGCTTATTTTCAATATTAAATACATTAATTAGTAATAGGTGGTTTTAGTTATCTGCTTTTGCAATATTAACTTTTACCTTCTGTACGGACCTTAAATATCAAATGTCTTTCTGATCTACCTCTTGATGAAGCAAATGTGGTAGCCACACCGCAATATGAGAATGCAATTATGTAGAACTGTGACAAAACCTTTTTTTCCCCCCTACTATGGCTATGCCTTAAGCCTTATCATAGGCTTGTTATGGTCTACTTCAAATAGAAAGTTCTCAGGGATTATAGCTTTAATTTTGATAGGGAAAATTAAGGAAGGGACAGGAAATAGCAGTGAAAAGGCTCTCTAAAACTTCAAGTCAAGGACCTCAGAGTTCAAAAATGATGTCTCACTTACAGCAAAATTACAACATGTGAACTTAGTTAGACTTCTGGGATACTGCACTGAAGGAGATGAGAAGATATTGATCTATAAGTACCTCCCAAACAAAAGCTTAGACAATTTCCTCTTTGATAAATGTTCCCAACTATATGTTTGTCATAATTTTTGCAGTGTAGGCTAAAACTGGTTTGCCTGATACTAAGGATTCAATCTACAGATGAACACAATTAAATATTAAATTTAAAATTGTTGCAAAATTCAATGTCCTCCTCTGTTACACAACTAAGTAACTAATAATTCAAATTTGAGCTTGATACAGATCCAATGATATCATTTCTTTTAGACTAGAGAAAACGTGTCAACGTCATTGAAGGGGTTACTCAAGGCCTTCTTTATCTCCAAGAGTACTAAATTTCACTATAATCCATTGAGATTTGAAAGCAAGTAATGTGTTGTTGGATAATGAAATGAATTCAAAAATATTAGATTTTGGGATGACTAGCATGTTGATAAAAGATGAACTTGAAGGAAACACAAGAATGATTATGGGCACATAGTAAGTAAAGTAGTAGAATCGTGTTTAATGACTAATCATATGATTCTTATCCTTTCATGTGGTAGTGGATATGTGCCCCCTGAGTATGTGAGAAGAGGCATATATTCAATGAAGTATGATGTTTATAGTTTTGGAGTTGTTCTCTTGCAAATCATTAATGGAAACAGGACCTCATATTACTATGGGACACATGAAAATCTGAACCTTTTGGAATATGTAAGTTCCAAAATGAAAACTTTAGGATTCCATTGTTTTTATGTGAACATGATTCTATTCCTGTGATGCCTTTGAATCATAAAACTCTTTGGTATTGCAGGCATATGAGCTGTGGAAAGAAGGAAAAGGAATGGAGTTCATTAATCAGTCACTGGACGACACAGAATCATATCGTAAAATCTTGAGATGCATGGGGGTAGCTTTGTTGTGAGTCCAGGAGAATCCAAATGATAGATCTTCAATATTATAAGTTTATTCGGCTCTAAAAAATAAGGGAGCAGATGCTCTCATCATCAGTTTTCTCCTTATCTCTCATCATCTCTAAATCTCATCCATCCAATAGATCTGAGAGGTAAAAAAGTGACACATCATGGGGCTTTTAAAATCACATCTGAATCTTCCGTTCTATTATAATCCTAATTGTCCATTCAATTTTAAATTCTGTCAATCCCTAGCAGTAGTAGTCACAAATCCTCTTTCCTTGTTTCTATCAGAGTTCAAACAGCATCAACGACACAAATAGGAGCTCTGTCGTTACTCACCATGAGGCACTATGAGAGGATCTCCATTGCTGTGCTTAAAGCATCTTGTTGGTTAGGTATGAATATCACAACTCTTTCTCCATATTTTTGCCTTTTTATGCAGGATGGAGTTGATAAAGTTGTAATCTTTATGCACTCTGCTTCTTCTTATTCTTATTTTTTTCCTTCTATTTAATTAATTGTTATGTATTAAATTAACATGAACTTGAACATGAACTTGAATCATTAATTTTGTTAAGGTGGATGAAATGAGAAGCAATAATTTTGAAATTTTCAGTAATTGATCATTTTTGGATCAATGATAGATGGTATCTGGTTGATTTGCCTAGATATGGGTATGGCTTACTTCCATATATATTCACTTCCTCCTTACTTTTTATGTTAAAGATTACATTCCTTTACTACATGCAATTGAGATGATCACTAATATGTGTATGATGGGGGACGAATTAGTATGATTCCTGAATAGCATTGAGTGTGCTAGACTCTGAGCTGAATAATCTCTTTGAGTTTTTACATCTCACTGGTTTATAGTTGATGGAATAATATACTTTTGTTCTCTCTAGTCTTTCAACCTTACAAATGTATCAATTCGGTTAGCCTTGATTCAAAGTGCTGCGTGTCAACCTCCTAGTTCTCACATTGTCACAATCAAGTTCCATTCTTTAGTGTCTCTTTCCATATGAATGGATAATGTAAACGTAGCACTAAAACATATGCATTCTAGTGATGTGGCAGTGATCTGCATTAATTAAAATAGCTCTTGGGATTGATGCTTTTTCAATTCTAGTTTTTGAGTAATTATGTTGATCAGCAATTCTTTAATACGGGCTCTATGACATTTTATTTAGTTGACATTTTGAGTTGATTTATTTTCTTTGCAATTCAAGCTTTTCAATAGAGGTGTTCAATTTGTCCCGTCCCAGTTTTGTGAGTTTGGGATGGGACGGGACAAGAACAGTGATCGAGACAGGAGGACAAGGGACGGGGTTGTCCCGTCCTAGGTTTTTTTTTAAAAAAATTATTTATTAATAATTATTATTAGATTATTTAATTTAGTTATTAATAATAATAATTATTTTTATAGTGATTTTTAGCTCTTAAGTTGTAGTATTATCTCAACAATATCTCCTTTCTCAATAAAATAATTCATAAAGCCATTATACAGTATTTCTTTTACCGTATTTTTTTACAGTATTATTTTTACACCTTTTTATACTATATAATTGAGCTTTCTGCATAATATTTTTTATAATGTTTTTATCTTCAAAAGCTCAATGAAAAAATAAGTATTATAACATAAAAAATTCATATGAAAAATTATAATATTTTTTTTAAAAGGGGGGATGGGACGGGACGGGACGGGACGGGACACGGGACTAAGACCCTATCCCATCCCTGTTCACCCTTGGTCCCGTCCCGTGAGCACCCCTACTTTTCAATATCCCCCCTCCCAAAAAAAAGGATGAGTGCTTGTGCAGGTATATTTATTGTGTTTGTTTAAGATGGAGTAGATTACTAGTTGTGAGCAGATTACAAGATTTAGGCGGCAAAAACTAATTTAGAGTTTGTAATCTTTTTATGGTTATTTTCACTCATTTGTGAGTAGAGTTCATTAATATGTACAGGGCTTAGCAAACAAATAAATCATTCTAGAAATAAATTGCCTAATACACACATTTCTATTGGGGGTTTCTTTTTGATGCATTAAAAGGAAATTTATTAAAACATGCTATATATTAAACAAAACACAATTTTCTTCCATAGTTGACAAAATAAAACTTGTTGTCACATAAAAGAAATCACATTTTGCTGCCATGTCATACAAAATATAACTTGTTAGATTGACTTTATCAAAAAAATAATAGGGTGGGTTGAATGACTGAATTGCTGGAATTTGAATTATTAGTACAAGTAGTGGCTGCTTTGTCCTCCTTGTTAACTAAATATTGTTGAAGTTGTCAAAAAATGGACTTTCACCTTCTAGGGATTGATTGGAAATTGTTGAAGTTTTAGAAGATAAACCTTCACCTACTAGAGACTGTTTAGACATTGTTGATGCTATTATGATGCATGGACCTTCGCCTAACAAAAAGAAGGAAGAAAGAAAAGCAGTACAGATATTAGTATAGGGTCATAAAAAAGTTGTGTATATGATTTACTAGAAAGTGTATTAGACAGTAACAATTGTATTTGGCATCCTGATATAGTATTCACATTGATTTTAATAAAAATGACATTTTCCCCTTAACTTGTGCACATTTCTATCTTTGCTCTTTCTTCTTTTTTTTTTTTTTTTTACCTGACAACAAAAATTCTTCTTTTTCTAATACTTCCAATGATGGTATTGGACAATCTAAGGGAACCTATAAATCACAAAGAAAAAAAATACACTTATTATTAATACTAAAAAGTGTCATACATCTAACTTATTTGATAAATATTAACAAAACAAGTCACAAAGGACATTTACTTTTTTGACATAAAAACTCACCATCAACATATTGGTGAATGATTGCACTTGAGGTAGTGCTTGCAGTGTTGATGGTGTAGAATATGAAATTAGAGCATCCAATTGCTCACTTCTTACCACATTTAGAGACCTATTTATCTTTTCAAGATGCTCACAAAAAGTCTTAAATCTTTTTTCATCTTAGTTCCATCACTCCTTTTAATTTCCTTGGCTTGTTTACACTATAGCTCTATCTTCTTTTTTTCTTGGTTTCCCCCTTCTTTCATATTTTTATCTTCTTCCTGTTTGTTGCCATCATTTGAATTCCTTAACCTTGAACAAAAGTCTCTTGCTTCTTTATGAAGTTCTATAATAGAGTTGTGCATAAAAGCAGAAGCCTTTGGGCAATCAGACATTTCAGCTACTAACTATATCATCATATGACATAATTGTCTATATTTTTGTGTGCTTTGAAGCTTAGAATCCACTAGTATTTCATTTTCTCGAATATCATCTATCACACCATTTCTTGCATCTTTGGTCCATCTTTTTAAAATATGTTTTTTTTTGTAGTTTCCTCACTTCATTTACCTCATATATTTTTAAAGCATGGCAACATAATATCCCAATAGATTCAAAATGCCTACAACCGCACCATACGGAATCATCCTTGGGATCAAATGTCAATGTCTACTTTTTGTTTTCATCAACCATGGTACCACTATATGTGAACAATGGACCTTTCTCACCTCGAGAGGAAATACATGTGGCAACTAGCAAGAAACAAGATCTAATTGCTCTTGGAACAATTCTAACATTGAGGCGGTGTAAATATCAGCAAATAGTCACAGTATAGGTGAACTTTAGACTATCAATCATGGTTTTTTTCCTTTGCATCAAACTCACATTTCATTTCATTATACCTCTTATCTGCAACAACCTTTTAGAAACTCTTGAAAAATTACTCAATATCAACACTTGGGTTTGTAATGTTCTTGATATCTACATTAACAATTCCACTTATTTGTGTGCTACGCATACCCAAAGTAATAGAGTACTTCATATAACACCATACCAATTTCATATATGGACTTCAACCATGAGTTGTCTTTCAAATTGAATGATGATATTAAAACAGCCCATGCTTTTTGAAATTGTGATTCATCTTCAATAATAAACGTATACTTATTGAAGTCACGCATAATATGTGAACCACCTTTCATCTTGTTTCCTAAATGTTTTATTCCATTTTGCCTAATATGAAATGTGCATAATACATGTTTCACTCCAGGAATAACTTCACCTAGTGCTCTTGCCATTGCTCGATCTTGTTTAGTAAAAATTGTTGCAGATTTTTTTGCTTGCTTTCAGGAAAGTCTTTAACAACTACTTGAATGATTATGTGGTTTCATTATACAACAAAGTTGCATAAAAAATAACAATTCCTCTTTAATGATTGAGACCTGAAAATATGGTAAGAGCCTATGATTACAATTTGTGTAGTATGTGGTATCCAATGAAATTACATCTCCAAAATAAGTATAATCTACAAGTACAAGGGCATCAGCCCAAAAAATATTTGTCATTTGATTTTTCATATCAAGTTAGTATGAATGATAAAATGAAGGGTTCTCAGTAATCTGCTCTTCAAAATAGTTCAATAAGCATCCAACTTCCCCATCTTTCATAATTCTTCATCGTTTAGCTTCAAATAATTTTTCGTATCAACTTGAGTGAAACCAAGAGTAGCTCGTCCACCTGCTTGCTTGCTCATAAGGTCAAATGTTTTTTTTTTGTTTAAGTCTAGCATCCCAAGCCAAATCAATCTCGTCTACTTGCACATTACTTATTTTCTTTTGAGACCTCATCATACGCATAGTTCCTTGAAGATGTAACAAGTGGTTATGCTCTTCTATAAAGCTAGTAATCTTGAATTTACCTTACACTAAATTAACTATTATTCCAGCTTTACCACTGGTCCTAGTCTCAGGATGACAATTTGTAGCTGAGGTATACCTTTTATTTGGTCTCTGTTCACCTTCTTTTGAATATACATATCTATATACAATAATTGTCTTTTTATCTTTCTTACTCTTTGTTGGCCCATTTTTCCTTGCATCAAAGCCTACTCTATAGGCATATTCATTCCAAAACTTACATGCCTTCTCTAGATTGTTAAATTCTTTCCCTAATCTAAGAGTCAAATTAGCTTCCATA